GGCTGCCTTCGTGGAGTTCAGAAGGGTCTATACAGACTATTGAGCGATGAATTATTTTCTATTCTATAACCCCTTTTCAGCAGATGAAACGTCGCCAGCAGCTTATTCTAACGTTATTTCCATGGCAAGTGTTATGACGAGCCACATTCCTTGGTTCCAGCAGCCCTGACCTTAGTAACTGGGACCAGCCATACAGCGAACACAAAGAATCATCCGCATTATCTTCGAATTCAATAAATAAAGAGTAAGTTTAATTCGGATATCTTCCCAAGAACTGTTGCTTTGTAGAAAGAATGGCCGACAGGGTGTTTTCCCAATTATTACAATCTTGACCTCTTCAAATCTACGATTAACCGTTGTCTTTCCTACATAACCTCATTAAATTCACTTTATTGCCTTTGCTTACGCTCATACTAAATCACACAAAATCACACAGAAACCCTCTACCTTGAGTGAATCTTGGGCCTTGTATTGGAGAAAAAAAACATTAGTATATATGAAATAAAATCCTGTTGTAACATTTCATTAAGGTAACCAGATAGAAATATTTATTTAGAAAGTAAGGAGACATATGCAACATGAGAGATGAAATTAACATGGTAGTTGCAACATGGTAGATACAATTAATATAATACTTGCAACATGGTAGGTGTAATTAACATGACAGGTATATTTAATATGGTAGCAGCAACATGTTAGGTTCAACATAGTAGATAAAAGTAACATCATAGGTGCAACATTTTAGGTGCAATTAACATGGTAGGGGAAATATTTTAGGTGCAATTATTTGAAAAGTTAAAATATATAATAAAAGTGATATAGATAAGCCTTTTTTATGTAAAGTGAAGAATTATCATGAATCTAGGGAGTAATTATTCAATATACAAGGGGATTCATAAGAATGCCTGAAGATGCCTTCCTGAATCTAAGCAAAGTATCACGAGGCTGAACTATATTGGTAGGAAAACTCAATGAGTAAATAATACTAATAAAAAAACCCTCTACACTTCCAGTTGAACTCGTATATATGATCTATCGCTAAAGACACTGGGAAAATATCCGTTTTTCTTGCATCGAACTATATAGTATCTGACTCCTTCTACCAGGCTCTCTCTTTACAAGAGCCAGGGCAGGGCTGCAGCATTACAATCCTCACTTCATTTTCCAGTCTCGCTAGAACATGAAAGCATTTGCGTGGCCTTTTGGTTGGTGAATTTTTTTCTACTCTACAACAGACGAAATGTTGGTAGCCTCTCGTTACCCTATCGCTCTTTCCATGGAAGATGTTCGGACGAACTACATTTTTGGTTACACCAATCCAGACCTTTACAGCTAGAACCCGCCATGACATCTACACTGAATCGACTTATCTTCATTCCCTTGATATTCCATTGGTGAGGAAGAAGTTGCACCTTAAAAGTTTCTTCCGCTTTTCTGCTGCATTATGGAACAGACTCCTTATTCAATGCTTCCTTAATCACTACAATCCTGGCTTCTTCAAGTCAAGGACCAAACGATATCTATCCCCGGGGTCGGCAACCTTTTGCTGGCTATATGCCGACAGGGTTTTAAAATCACTCAGTCTGCCAACAGAATACGTATTTTTTTTATACAAGTCAAGGTCAATATACCTGTTCTACAATATATTTTATATAGTAATATATACAATAATGTGTAAACTAAATTAATAGAAATAAACTGTTTTTAAAAGATTTTATTATTAATGGGAGTCCAGCGAGTGAGTAATTTTGAAACAGCTAAATATAATCTTTGTGTTGTAATAGTTCTTGGTTCGGAGATTTTCATGTCATTTGCGACTGCGTGCCATTGGAAATTGCTTGGCGTGCCACATATGGCACGCGTGCCGTAGCTTGCAGACGCCTGTTCTATCCTACATATCATTATAACATGTACCTCTTGCTCCCTCTCTTCCACCTCATTTAGTAATCCACTGATTTGAGGGGGCCTTGTAATTGGTGAACATTTAGTAAAAAAAAAAGAGAGGGATTTAATCTAAATTGTAGATATTGATTTGCCAGCAGAATATAATAAAGTTGACCCCTAAGTAACCCCTAAACTAAAACAACAAAAAATCCAACAAAATAATAGGAAAATGCCAGGATTTCACCCGAAATCCAAAGAAGCTGTAAAATGTTAAACTGAGGATTACGTTAATCATAATTGACGAAGTTAGAAATATGACAAAAACCTCGAGGTTAGATCGAACTGAATATTCAAGAAAGACTTGTGACAGTTTAGACACTGGCAGTGTTTGGGTATGCGAAAAATAAAAATTAAAATGGAGAAAAAATGGCTACTGGACATTTCAAAATTTCCTTTAACACAATCTCCAAACATCTGCAACAAATATCCAAATACATGAAATATAAAAAAAAGTAATATAATTGTAGCAAGAAAGGTTGTTAATGAATTCCATTCTGCAAGAATGGATCATCTCAATCAATAGTTTCACAATAAAATTCCCCTTAACCAAACAACATCGCTAGAATATTCCGGATATATTTCCATGATAGAAACACTATGCAAATTTCAGATTATAGCTTTTTTTTATTAGAACTATTTACAATAATTTAACTGTCCGGGCGAAATTTTATTATCCGACTTTGATTCGGATTGATCATTCAATAAACTCATCTCATAGTTATGTATATTTATTTTTCATTTCAGATATAAAAATATTGCTATGGTTCATAAGAAAGCTATGACCTCAAAAGCAAAACAGGATATTGTAAAGTTATTGAGAGAAAACAGTGGAAATTATGAAAACCTTGAACAAATATAAAGCAAAGTCGAGCAGAAATATGGACAACATAAGAACAAGAAAAAAAAAGGCTTTAAAATTTTACAAAAGTTCGAAAAATGTTTGATCCAAGGTAAACATTTCGAACGCTAAATTTAAAGGCAGGGAAGCCAGCAGGAAAATCCACTGTCTGGAAGACTTGTTGAACTGTAAAAAGAAAATGGACGTCGTAAAAATAAAAGGACGTATTATAGACAGACGAGGAAGGCTTCGATTAATGTGATTCCGAGTATCATTTACCCATAAACGCTCTGACAATTTGACAAATATTTAAGTAAACAGAATTTAAAACATTTACTGGCCTGAGTGTCCGAGAAATTTTCATAGAAAATATACGTCAGGCCGGTAAATATTGTTAATGCTGTTTACTTAAATATTTGTATCTATAAAAAGAATGTATAAACATAAAAAATGTCTTAAAAAATAATTGTCGGACTTTGTCCATTTCATGTGTGACGTCATTTGTTTACATTTGGATACGCATCGAACAGATATGAATGTATGATAGAAAATCATGGAGAATTATAGTTTAAAAACACTAAAATCGACCTTGCTAACCGAAACGCTCCTCTGTGGCTCAATCGGTAAAAGCACGTCAGGCTATATGACGGTTCCGTATAGGATACAGGTTCGATTTCTTTCGGAGGACGCATATTTTTTATGAAAATTTCTCGGACATTCAGGCCGGTAAATGTTGTTAATACTGTTTATTATAAACAGAGCATTTACTTAAATATTTGTATCTATAAAAAGAACGTAAAAACATAAAAGATGTCTTAAAATATTTGTCGGACTTTGTGCATTTCATAATTAAAAGTCAGAATGTCACACATTATGACATGGACAAAGTCCGACAAATATTTTAAGAGATCTTTAAACACCCTAAACAATTTATTATCAATAACTTTTATAATTTAAAAAATATATATATATATATATATATATATATATATATATATATATATATAATAGCTGGCCGCTCGTATTCAAAGATACCCGTCTATTAGGGCGGCTAGCCAATCCCTATTGCAGACGCTCGCTCAGGCACATTTGTGTTTGTTCTACACTCACAGAGCCAATCCATGGTTTATACTGCAACCGTGCTGAGAAGACCTTGGTTACAATTTCTGGGAGAGAGTGTGTTATCTAGCGTGATCAAAAACCTGAACAAGGCCAGCGCACTCAAATCCTCGCTCATGATGACTTGTAACTTCGTGCTAGCACAGCTATCGAGGGCTCCCAAGGGTTCTGTCTACCCAATTTTTTCCCTCACAAGACTTGGGTCAACCCGTGGCATGGTTTTCAGCCACTTTTCAAATGTGCCGTACCCTGGGTTCGCCCTCTCCAGACCGATAACACCTGGAAGTCTGTTTCCTGAAAAAGCAACCGTGGTGAGATTCGAATTCGAGTCTTTTGGTCAGAAAGCGAAAGACTCAAATGATATAATGTTGATATATAAGTATATCCATAAAATTTTACTTCAATCAGCTAATATCAACTTTGAAATATTAACGGATTAAAAGTGACCTCTGACATGGAACGAAGCAGCTAAATTTGCCTCAAATCTGGAAGTAGCTTCGCCGCTTATACCACGACATATAAGTATATACATAAAATTTTACTAACATCAGTTAATATCAACTTTGAAAAATTATCTGACTAGCAGCATGGCCCGGCGTTGCCCGTGCTTGATTCAAAAATCGTACGACTCATACAGCAATCGCTATCACTTGACTATTTTTGCCCTTCCTTGCCTTTAAAGGAGTGCCATTTGCCGTGCTGATGTTGCTACATGCCTTAATTCGTGCCACTTGTGACGAATGCAGCTATCGATTTTTTTTGCATGCTAGTTAACATTCGTGTCAGTCAGCTGTTGGCTCTCACGCTGGCCAATATAATCTTCCTGCCTATTTGTGGAAACCAGCTATAGGCTCTCACTCTGGCCAGTAGAAAATGGCCGCAAACTACATGAAAACTGCCGTAGAAGCATGAAAATATCGATTATTTCCACTATCGATGGGAGTTGGGAAATGCAAAGTCGGTCTTGGGCTTCCTGCTAACTTGGAGCATGTGCATGTAAATTTTGGTGCAAACCCGTCGAAAATTGCGGCCGTGCATTTGTTACACACACACACACACACACACACACACACACACACACACACACACACACACACACACACACACACACACACACACATCCTGCCTTTTATAGATAGAGATTAAAGCTGACCTCTGACGTGGAACGAAGCAGCTAAATTTGCTGCACATCTGGAAGTAGCTTCGCCGCTTACACCATGACATATAAGTATATACATAAAATCAAATTAATATCAATTTTTTTTCTGTGAAAATACTGGCATAATGAAATCTTATATTGTTTAGAAGAAAATCTACAAATTATCCAAGGAAATCCTGCTTAGACATTTCCTGCAAAGTGTTTTATGGTTGGATAGTATATATATATATATATATATATATATATATATATATATATATATATATATATATATATCGTATCTTGGATATGTTACCAAACATAGTGCTTCAACGATTCGTCCTTTCAATTGTGCTGTAAAAGAGTCAAAGCAGACGGCAAGTAAAATCCTGTCTCATATTAAAACCGCGCTTTTTCAATGGTGAAAGTCTCAGTTTCTCGCTTGACTGTTTTTCTGTCGATACACTTTTGTCTGACGTCATTGTTTGGCTGAATTCGTCATTAATGGCGCATGTGATTTGGTCGTGTTTTCCGCGCTTTTTCGATCGCCTGGCCTTTTCATCGCGCGCAGCAATCGACATTTTTAATGGGCTCCGGTGTCAGTTTTGATCAGAATCGACTTGGATCTCAACAGTGCACACAGTCCACTTTTCTAGACACGACTACATGCGCGGAAATGCTTTGTGTGTACTTGTTTTGATTTGAATAAAGGGAATCAAATATATGATTTATATTATAAGTTGTAAGCACAGCCTGGATTATTTCGCACAGGTAAAATGTTCGATCTTAAGCAAGCATTTCGAATGTTGGTTTTCTAGGGAGGCAGGCAAGTAAGCCTAATCTGTCTGAAAGACTTGCCGAAAAATAAGGGGAATATGTACATCGTAAGAAGAAAAGCATGTACAATAAGAATACTTTGGGAACTTCGCTTGTCTCGCAAGACCGACTACAATTGAGTAGTGAGTTCGATTCTCATTGGATGCTCTAGAATTTCGGCTTGTGTCTCTATTACTATCGGATCCCTATTCGGTGGTTACTATTCGAGCGAGTCTTATCGAGCAAGTACTATTTATGTGAGTGTTATTTGAAGGCGTCTGACACCAGAATTGTTCAACGGCGTTACTATAGTTATAACTGCGATTACAAAGTCTCTATTACAACGAGAATTACGAAAGTGAAAACCAGTATTCGTTAACATTACAAAAATGGCAACGAGTGTTCGTTGACATCACAAAAGACATTAACATCATCATTCCGGCTTTCTTCAGGTGGTTGGAATGTGAAACTGAACCATTTATTTCGCTCACTGGGGTAGACTGTTCTAGTTCCACGTGCCATGTATAACGGTCGAAACGTTGTAATATTTTGTTTGTTTGTTTTGTTTAACGGCATTCCAACCTTAGTGGTCACTTTATGCCGAAAATGATTTTGGTATAGCTTGCAGCATTATTTTTTCAAAAACGTATAGCTGGCAACATTATTATTTTTTTTTTTCAAAAAACGTGTAGCTGGCAACATTATTATTTTTTTTTTCAAAAAACGTGTAGCTGGCAACATTATTTTTTTTCAAAAACGTATAACTGGCAACATTATTATTCAAAAAAAAAAAAACATCATCCTTTCACAGTGTTTTTACCCCAGTTACAATTCCATTGGTTAAGATTTTGTTAAAAGACATATAGCTGGTAATATTTTTTCTTTTTTTAAACGTATAGCTGGTAATATTATTTTTCCAAAAACATATGGCTGGTAATATAATTTTTTCAAAAACGTATGGCTGGGAATATCATTTTTCAAAAACAAACTGCTGGCAATATTATTTCTTCAAAAACGTATGGCTGGTAATACTACTTTTCCAAAACCGTATAGCCGACAACCTTAATTTTTCAAAAACGGTCTTTCTGTTGGACGTAGTTTATCGCCATACCTAATATGTGGATGTAGTTTATCGCCATACCCATGGACGCGGATGCAGTTTATCGTCATACCGATGAACGCGGATGCAGTTTACTGTCATATCCATGGACGCATCTGGTGTAAAGGAAAAATAATAACTTTCTTACCTCAATATGCAACATTTTGTTCCTTTGAAAATGGCATGAATCTCTCCCCCACCCCACCGTAGTTATTCCAGAAGTGCATGATTCTGAATGTTTGGCTTTTATACAGCTTAGTGGAGTTCAACCAATAGCAATCTGTGTGTTGATTGGTCAGACTGGAGGATGACAATTGACAGTGTGACTGAAGATGAAGCCAATAATGCTGATTGGTCAGTCGACCATGGTTTTGACATAATAAAAAGGGCTGGAGCAGTGATAAGTGGGTGGCGATTTTTACGTTGGTGATACATGCGCGAATTCTTGAAGTGTCTTCGTAATTAGTATTCGATGTTATACTAGCTGCGTATGAGGAATAGAACTTCATTTATGTACATTTTCAAATATCAAATAATTTTTAAATAATAAAGCAGCAAAACGAATAAATAAGCAATGGCAGCATTAATTATGAGCAGGTGCAGGAGCAGGAGCAGTTGCCTACATCTATAGTGGGTTATCAGTTATAGTGAAGTGTATGAGTGTGGAAACAGGTTAGTTTGATTTGGCCTTGTTAGTTAGATATCCCACCGCAAGAGCGGTATAAAACAAGAAAATCAAATTGTAAAATGAAGAACAAATTTATATACATATAAATCAATTAAGGTCTTTACAAATAAAATTAATGTATTTTGGTTGATACAAGGTTGTCAAAATCTTCGTCGTAGTAATTGCAAGAATGAGTTTATGTGTACGTAGGTAGGAACGTATGTGTGGATGTATGTATGTATGAGCGTTATCGAAGGGTAGGGATGTCATTGACGTAATCGCTCAGTCTTAAAATATTCCGTTTCTTTATCAAGTATAAAAGAATTGAGGGAGAAGGGTAGAGATAATAATAACGCTCGCTTGACGTTGTCTCCTCCTCTCTGGTGACATGAGAACTTTCCTGTCTTTTATTTTGTTTATGGAGCTTAAAAAAGTCATTTGAGAATTCACTCTTGTGTATGATTCGGGCCTTTTTAATTTGAACAAATTTTTTGCGCCGGCTCGCGAAAAGGTCCGTGAAAGCATTTGTTTCTGATAATTGAAGATTATTTGAATTTTGTTTTTAAATGTGTCCTAGTTTTGTTTTGTTTTGGACTCGCTTTTGCGTGTGTGTTAAGCAAAGTTTGTAAATTCGAGTCTTTTTAATTTGTAACAAAATCAGAGAGTCAGTGGTTAGCATTTGAATTTTAAATTTAGATCTTGTTTTTGTTCACTACACATCCAGCGACACACAGAGTAGACTCCATTTTGTATTTGTGTCTTCATAATATTACTTTACTCTCTCTCGGTTTCATTTACCATAGGACGGTATTGTAATGCGTACGATCTTGGCTAATTACGGCAGAACTCCGGTATTTTTAACTGCTTGTAAGGTTGCTATCTTTTTACCATTCTAAATACTAATCGATGGCCACAGTTCCTGGTTCATTCGTCGACCGACGGCTGCGGGGACTGTGCAACTTTTGAACTTGCACCGGAAGCTCTACCCAATTAACCTTATGTCGCATCCTGCCACCGGGGCCGGTAAATACTGACCCTCGTTCATTCGTTTGATCGTGTGATATTTAAATTCCGGGTGTTATTTCATGGTTCTACATTGTATGTGGTTTTACAGAAGGATGCTGAGGATAACATAAATCGAATATGTGAGTAAAGATGCAATTTTAAGAAAAATGAAAAAAAATGGCACGTGCTTAGTTATCATAAAAAGACAGTGGAAATTTCTAGGTCATATTAAGGAAAGAGGGCTCGGAAAATGTGACACACACGAGGCATACTGAAGACAAGAGAGACAGAAGACAATTGAGTAACTTATATAACAATACTGGATGGCAGAACAGGGAGCGGGAGAGATTGTGAAAAGATAAACATTACTAAGTGTTACAAAGAACATGAAGTTGTGGAGAGCCTTGAATGCCAATGTCCTGAATGGACATGACACATAGAAGAATAAGTAATATTTCAATTTCATTAGGTTATTTGTTCTAGTCGAGCAAACAATTGGTACAGATTGTGTTCCATTCTGATTCTTCTCCGAATGAAAGTTTTTTCTAATCATTTCACCCCGACAAGCAAGGCAATAAAGCCACTAAAACGTCGGATTTTAAAAAAATATAAGAAAACATTATTAAAGGAATAATAATAAAAGAATAAGAATTAAGAAGATAGAAGATAACGATTGACATTACATTTAAATTTTTGAAGATGAGACTTACTTGGAAAGCAACAGACCGGAAGAGATTTCTACGAGTGAGAAGTGCAAGATGCTCTTAGCATAGAACTTACGGTCGACTCTAGCCATTTCAGTTGTGAAATGATGAAACTTTGTCGCCAATCTAGCAATGAGCTTTAATTCATAAAGTCTTTTGTTAAACTTCGCGAGATCAAACAAATATCTTCCTTTAATACCATGATAAATTTTCCCTCTCTCTCTCTCTGTGCTTTTTTGGTGTTTGTTTGTGGGTGAGAGAGAGAGAGAGAGAGAGAGAGAGAGAGAGGGGGGAGAGAGAGAGAGAGCGTGTGCAGGCATGTGTATATATGTGTGTTACATACGTGCGAGTGTGTATTCGAGAGTATATTTATAAATGTGTAAAATTAGCTATTTTCTATGAGATAGAACCAAAAAGGATTATTATTTTTGAACCACCAGAGGGAAATTGATTTGGAATATAGCGAGAACATTCTGTTTCCTCTTATTCTGGTAGTGTATCGACTAATCCTTCAAAATTACTTGAAGAACATATGGAGGCTGTGATTGTCCTGAAGCAGCTGATGTGATATATCAGAGTTTTCTCTTGTATCTTTTTCCGATGAATCCAAGCTATCTATGAATTGTGATGAAAGCAGTAAAACCTCATTTTTTAGTGAAGAAACAATGAGATATTTTGCCGTTATGGCATCACTCAAACTTTTCCCATTTGCAAGTTGTAAAGCCATGCAAAGATTGGCCTGGGAATATTCGAGAAAAACAGAAATATATTAGATACTAGCAGCATGGCCCAGCATTGCCCGTGCTTGATTCAAAAATCGTACGACTCATACAGCAATCGCTATCACTTGACTTAAAATATTTTTGCCCTTCCTTGCCTTTAAAGGAGTACCCTTTTCCGTGCTGATGTTGCTATATGCCTTACTTCTTGCCTATCTCACACTGCGAATTTTTTCTAAGCTCTATACTAAACATTAAATCTCTTACGAAAAAGAACTAAAAAAAATGAACACGAAACGATCAGCTTTAAAAAATGACTCGCAACTGGAAAAACCGTATGAAAAAAGAATGTTAACAACAAATACATTTTCACACCCAACCCAGTTCTGCGGAATCAGAATCAACGTTGAGTTTAAGCAAGCGAATGAGCCAATGGGAGTAAAGTGCCATGCAGATTTAAATTTTTCCCATTGTGACGAATGCAGCTATCGATTTTTTTTGCATGCTAGCATGCTAGTTAACATTCGTGTCAGTCAGCTGTTGGCTCTCACGCTGGCCAATAGAATCTTCCTGCCTATTCGTGGCAGCCAGCTATAGGCTCTCATTCTAGCCAGTAGAAAATGACCGCAAACTACATGAAAACTGCCGTAGAAGCATGAAAAAATCGATTATTTCCACTATCGATGGGAGTTGGGAAATGCAAAGTTGGTCTTTTCCTTCCCGCTAACTTGGAGCATGTGCATGCAAATTTTGGTTCAAACCCGTCGAAAATTGCGGCCGTGCATTCGTTACACACACACACACACACACACACACACACACACACACACACACACACACACACACACACACACACACATCCTGCCTTTTATAGATAAAGATTAGAGAAAGAGATGAAGAAAAAAACATAAACAATGATAGAGGGAGAGAGAGAAAGAGAAGGAGAGACAAGTAAATAAAGAGAGTGATAAAGACAAGGAGAGATAGTTTCAGTACAAAGAAGAGACCAAAAAAAAGAGAAAAAAAAATTTTATTTTTTCTAGCGCTTACGAATAAGGAATTGCGAGAAAATTTCGAAATATGAAGAGATGGGCTGTAGAGTCATCATAATTTCTCTTTATCTTGTTTGGTCATCGCAGTTGATGATAAACAGTCTTTCGTGATATTATCTTGGAACTTCCGAGAATTTCCGCTTCTAAATGATGCCCTCGGATGAATAGATCTTAAGGGCTGTCTTCTTACGCCGGCTCTTTGCATCCGACAGAATCCCAACCCAGTACCACCACGTCGCTAACGCCACCGCTCTGATAACGATGTCCATCATTCACACAAAAATGCTGCCTGTGATGACCCTTAGAGTGCGTTGACATGATTCTGATGCTACGAGACTCATTTCCGCCAATTTTCTGAAACGCGTCCTGTACCCACTTTAGACTTTACTCTCCAAAAAATTTCTGATTCATAAATTGATCTCCCCGTTTCTGTTAATAAACTTACAACTTTGTCGTCTGTCTGGACGTCTATACAATGGACTAAGGACAAGATATTTTTCTGTAACCTCGGGAGGTTAGCTCTATTACGAACACAACCTATAAACCGATGAATGTATATATCTCTATTACTCACCACAGAGAACCATCCCTTCCCGCCATTAGAATATTTGACGCTCAGCTTCTCGAGAGCACTTCGTTGCGACTACTCGGTCTCACATTGACTGCTGGCCTGAGATAGAACAAATACATTGAGTCAACAGATGCATCCACCGCAAGGAAAGTTGGCTCCCTGTGCCGCACCAGGAAATTTTTCTCGCCAGATTTGTTCCTTCAAATCTACAAATCTGGAGACGTTGATTGACATTATATTTGAATAGTTGGAGATTATAGTTCTCAGGAAAACAAAAACTGAGTATGGAGTTCCACAGGCGAGAGGTGCGAGACATGAAGCTATTGGAGTAGAAGAGACAGCTACATTTAACAGTTTCGACAGTGAAAGGACGTGAGCGAGATGCCAGCCTAGTTGAACGCTTAAATTCATGAAGTCTGGGAACCAGCGAAAGCAGCTCATCGGAACAGTTACCGTGAAAGTATTTGTAAAAAAAGTCAGAGGGAGGCGACGGCGCGTCTGTGAGAGAGCGACTGCAGACGAGATGCCAGATCAGGGCCAATTACATTGCATATCCGTGTCTGTTTTTTATTAAGAACCTTGAGACAAACAGAAGGAACTCCAGACCATATATGGCAGCAATACTACATGCAAGGGCGAATGGTTGATTTGTAGATTTGAACTCCGGCGAGAAAAATTTCCAGGCGCGGCACAGGGAACCAACTTTCCATGCTCTGGACGAAGCTATTGACGCAATGCATTCGTTCCATCTCTGGTCAGTGGACAATGTCAGACCGAGCAGTCGCAAAGAGGTGCTCTCATGGAGTTGAGCGTCAGACATTCTAATGGGAGGCAGGGATGGTTCTCTCTGGTGAGTAATAGAGAGCAGTTTTGTTTTTGAGGCATTAAAGTTAACCAGCCAATACCTGCCCCAGTCCACAACTGATTGGAGGTCCTTTATTAGACAAACGGCCAGGTTAGTTTTGTCGGCGACACTAGTTTTGTTTTTGAGGCAGGAATAAATAGTAGTGTCGTCCGCATAGATGTCTACTTGGGGACCTATGTCATCAGGAAGATCATTAATGAAGATAAGGAACAGAGTAGGGCCTAGGATAGAGCGTTGGGGAACACCTGCTTTCGTGGGATAGGAGCTGGAGGAGAATCCGTTGGGAACGACCTTCAATGCACGGTTTGACAGGAATGATTGTACGAATACATGCATAAACACATAATAATAATAATAATAATAATAATAATAATAATAATAATCAACAATATATAATAAAGTAATCAATAATAAATAATGGTTTTTAAAAAGTTAAACACCAGTATAAAATAGGTACAAATAACTGCATTCGGACTCACAATTATTTCTACTCTATCGTCGTTAGTATAATTTGGAAGATGGCTATTACCGCCCACCCAGTTATGTTAGGATAATATAATAGACCTTCTACCCACAATGCCCCATTGATCAGCATATATAAATAGTCGAAACAAAACACAATACACATAGCCTGAAGATTGCGTTTAAGTATGAAACGAATTTTCGCAGCTTCGTGTTAACCTCAATATCCAGTTTCATAGTTATATTTACATACGTTTCATCCCTGATATTGAGGACTTTTAACCATAAATATAGCATGCCATAAAACTATATATATATATATATATATATATATATATATATATATATATATATATATATATATATATATATATATATATGTGTGTGTGTGTGTGTGTGTGTGTGTGTGTGTGTGTGTGTGCGTGCTGTGCTACTTATACATGTAGGGAGTTAGTTTGCATGTCTCCATACATATTCATATAGATATTAATATATATGTATATACAGATATTACATCATCTTAAAGCCAACGCCCATCTGAGAAATCAGGTCGAAAGATGAAAGACGTTGCGGCCACTGATATCGATTTGGCCGGAAGGTGGCTTCTGTCTTTGAACTAACGATAAGTAGTGAGCTTGAAGAAATGAAGAAAAGTGTCAGAAGCCAGACATGTCGATGAACATGAAAGAAAAAAAAGGAAAAAAAGACGATGACGAAAGAGAACAGGAAGTTGGCAGTGGTGAAAAGAGCCAGTAGTGAAATGGGTTTGGGGTCAAATCCGAGCGTTGCTAGAGAAAGGTGACGAATTGGTAAAATCCATTTCATCGTGCGAAAACGTGCACTTCCGGTTAGCACTTAGCAGTAACAATCCCATAATGCCTTTCACAATGACACACGCTGCGCTGGTATGTTGGTCCGATGGCTGATGCCAGATACGCTCTGCAGAGCCGGAAATAATCAAAAGGAAGAGGGGAGAAGACGGACTGGGAGAGATAAGGGCGTGGCAGAGGGAGTGTCTGATTGATTTAACGAGTAATCTTCAGATAAGGTCAGTTAGAAAAAGATGAGAAACGTTGCTTAGATTCTGCATGAAAGGGCGTAGAACGAGGGCTATCTTTTTGAATTCGAGTCGGGCGCTGATAAAATTCGACATATAATATTGATTAGGCAAAAGAGAAACTGAAATAATACGCGCAAATGAGGTCAATTGGATTAAGTGCTGATTCTTAAATCTGGTGACAAAGTAAATGAGAGTTCAATCCTTGAGCCGGTTAGTGAGGATTTAGCCTCAATGCAAATAGGGGGCGAGCAATAACCGACCAGTACTAAATCACAAGAAAACGAGGTATCCCTAGTTATGTACTGCGGTACGAGAACAATTTACCACTGTAAATCAAATATACGGTTATGTCTTAAATTACCTGATGATTACCTGAGGAAGACCGAAGGATACAGAGGCCAAAACCTTGTAATGACAACAACAAAGATATGACTTTAGCCCTAATATAATTCGTTATTAACATTACTTTCGTTTAATCTAAATGGGAGAATATAAAGTTTGTGTTGTGTCAATCATCCTGGGAATCTGCTCTTGAAAAGGTCTGTCCATTTCAATATTTTTCATGGCGTCGAATAATGGCGACGCTTCTTTATGCCATTATTTAACAAGACATGAGTAACCATGTCTCTCTTTTCCTGTCTATTGTTACTCCAAGAAACACCTGCCCTCTCATTACTCGTCTTGATCCTTGCTTTGCCATCCATTCACCCAAACTCGTTAAGTAGGAAGGAAAATATTATGCTACTACTAATAAACAAAGATTATCGGCATTCAAAATCCAGATATCTACTGAGCCTGAACATTAGCGCCGGACAGAAAAACGCAACTATCTCTGCCGCGAGACAGTGCATACGGTGATATCTACTGAGTTGATAGAGATAGGAGAAATGTTTTAGCCCAGTCTTCAAATTGAAGAGCTTCTGACTGACCTTATGCGTACATTGAAATTCCTTCCACAAAATCTGTTGCTTTTATCCTAATTTGAACATAGGTCGTTGATACCGACTGCAAAATGCACAACTGCTTTAGACTATCGCACAGACTTTAAGATAGAAGGCATTTATATTGGTCAGTCGAAGCGAGGATTTACATTTGGATCTTAAGAGTATTTATGTGAACATCAATTTAATGTAATATTCAGGGGTTTAGAAGTTTTTAAAAGTGCATATTGAAAGGAACAAGATATCCCTCTTATAAAACATAATGCTTACACACACAAACATACACACACAAACACAAACACACAAACACACACATATATATATCTATATATCTGAAGAAATATAGTCTTAAGATGTGCTATATTTATGGGATAAAGTGATCAATATCAGACATAGAGCGTGTGTAATTATAAAAGTGAACATAGAAGTCAACACTTAGAGGCGACAGTCTGTTTCATGCTAGATTTGCTTTGAAATAATGTGGTTTCTCTTCACGTGCTAAAACTGTTGAATGGATTTTAGCGTCACATAACTAAATTGACCTCACAGTTCAAAATCATTGTAACATGTGCGTGCGCAGATTGAAATACATTCTTTTGATATTAGGTTTTTGTTCTTTAATTTGAAGTGCTTCCAGAATTTTAAAAACATTTTTGTAGTTTTTGTATTGTCGACCAACATCTAACGGTATTTAGAAGGAGCAACCTGGATTTCTCTCATTTGTGTCATATGTTTTTGATATGGCATTTTGTTTGAAGTGATAACAACACAATCCTCTCGGTATGATCAATAAATATTGACATTTATTATTATTTTTATTATCGATAAAGATACAATGACATAAAAGAAAAGAGAAAGGGTGTACGATAACATTATTTTTTGCGTAGTTTGTTGGGAGTCTGATTTTTGGTAATGTATGATGAATCTTAAGCGAGTTTTTCTATATAGAAATTATATTTACGGATTATATCGTTGTTTTTTTGGCTTTTATGCACTTGATGCGTATCTGATTATATTAGAAGAAATCTACTTTTATATACCATGTTCTTTCATGAAGTAAACGATCATGGCTCCCCACAAATTCCTTTTTTTTGTTGCTGTAAGTTATTTTTTACTCTTTATCATTTATCTTTCTCCTTGTTTTGCCACCCATTTACAAGTTCGTTAATCTGCTATTTGTTATTTCCCGTTATTCTCCAGATCACTCTTCCTCATTATGTATCCCAGAAATTGTGGTGTTCTCTTTTCGATTGTAAGTATACCTTTCTTTCTGTTATTGTTCCTATTTTCCTTAAAACATAGGAACATAGACAATCCTACTCATTAGAAAACTTGACTCATCTGTTGGAAAGTTATACAGAAGTGAATAGAAATACAAATATTTACGCCAGAATTTATTCATTTCGAGGTTATATCTCACATACAGACACGCATTCATACATAACGACAGACAGAAAGCGTACGAGAATCATTTATATACGCCGACGGTTTGCAGTGCTCCCGGGGTTCCGTTCCACAGCTTCCGGTTTTATTGTCAGAAAATATTTTTAAACCCATTTGGGAGAAATGGCGGAAGGGAAACAAGGTAAATATGGCGTCAGTTTTGAAATGTTGGCTTTTCTCAAAATAGTAGACGGTATTTAAGGCCAGGCCGTGAGCCAAAAATCAGTATGTCTTCTCTTGTGTAGGCTTTCTTTCCCTCTTCGACTCTTTTGTCATATCTATCAGTCAATGCTCTATTTTAAATATCCATATTCTATTTACCTAATATTGCTTATAGAAATCAATCTCACTATTTAACATAGGCATGCATACATACATACATACCTATGTGTCTGTGTGTATGTGTGTGTGTGTGAGAGAGAGAGAAAGAGAAAGAGAGTGTGTAGTGAGTGTGATAGAGATAGAATGAGAGGAAGTTTTTTGTTTGATTGTGTGCAGCGGTATATTAATACCTCTATGGCTTATCCAATGCCGAAATATAAATTTTGAACACATTTTATGACTTAAAATATATTTTGAACACAATTGCATACCTTCAAGATAAAATTTTTTCTTGGTAATTTTTTTTTTTATATTGATGGTATTTTTACAATAAAATTCATTTTTATACTTTCATAATGTTTTAGTATAGTTTGGAGGGTTCTCTATTTACACATATTTGGGACCATAACAGGTGCTACCACCCCGGGTCAGGGTGAATCTGGTTAAAACAGCAGTTAAGATGTGTTGCCATGTTCCCCCAAACCTCCCGATCAGAGGCCTTTCTGCCGAATGAAGTTTATAGTTATACGAGAGAGAGAGAGAGAGAGAGAGAGAGAGAGAGAGAGAGAGAGAGAGAGATTATTCACTGAGAAATCAGCACTGAATATTGATTCTCATTTTTGTACCTCAGATTATATTCACTATACATAAGCCTCTAGGGACATTAACAGAAGTTGGAGAAAAGGCAAAACAACAAGTTCTTTTTATTAGGACTAATAATTTAGGTTATTTAAAGTAATGACTTTTAGTGTGCTTAATTTCGCTAATTTTTAATTTAAATTTATTCTTTTTACAGTTTGCTTTTTCATATAAATAAAAATAATACAAAAAAGACGGAAAGGGAGAGAGAAAGTAAGAAAGAAACTGGCAATATCTTTGATTTAAAATTTTAAAAAGACGTTAGAAAAAAAAATTAACTTTTTAAATCTTTCCTAACCCCTTTCTAACCAATAAGGAAAAGAAAAAGCTGATCTACAATGTAATAATTCTTGATAAAAAAAAAAAAAACGTCTGAGAGGAACTTCTTTCTTACAAATGGAATACGAAAGAGAATCAGAACGACGTACTATGGCGGGTTTTAGCTGCAAAAATCTGAACTGATTTGGAATTAAAGAATGAATCTCGTCAGAACCTTTACCAAGAAAATAGCGATAGAATAACGAGAGGCTTTCAAATTTTACTTCAGTAGGAAAGGGCTCACAAGGCCGCTTGAAGGATTTTGTATTCTGTTAAAGCTGTAAATTTCAGCCCAGATATACTAACAATTTAGTTGAGTCTCATATAAGGCCACAGTTATCGACTTCAAAGTGAGGAGCGAACTCATACAAGTGCTATGTCCCGGAAAGAGATATATTTGTTCGAAGTATCAAAGTGGTTTTGGACTACTGTAACTGAGTAGAACAATCTAGAAGGTAACCGTCATGGACTGGTCCTCGTCGTAGTGGTAGGCAATAGGCGTAACCAATAGGCAGAACAATAGGTGTAGTCTATGTACCTCCACATCAGTCTGTATTTATGGCTGACACCAGCCAATCATATTATTGTGAAGAGGAACCCAGGTGTATGCATATTCATTACATCACCCAGTAATAAAGAATCTGAAAGACTAACACCGGTTCTACTTAACTACTGACATACCAAGGCTACAAATATTGTACACCCAGTGAGGATGACATACGAAAGTGCACAAACATATAATGATAATGGATATATTAGCTGTTTCCTTATAAGGAAGCATTCGATATTCATTAACTGAAAAACTAGTACTATTGTGGGTTGAAATTTATAAAATCTTCCCATTATAACAATTTTTTAGGAGAATCAGTTTCCTGCTAACTATTACTGAATGTTAATGATAATATTCATATTAGCCATTACCTTATAAGGAAACATTCAGCATTCATTCACCGAACAGCCAGTTCTACTGTCGGTTGAAATTTATAAAATCTTTCTGTTTAAACATTTTTACAGGAAAATAGGCTCCTCATGTCCAGTAGCTATTAACGGTCTTTCCTGTATTGATGGAGCTTTAATTCTTAACCTTTTGCTATTATTCCGTCTTCAAGTTTCAATATACATTTTAGCTGTTGCTGTTGTGACATGATGATATGGTTTCTGAAATTTGGTACAGTTCTTTGTTTGTGATTCTACAGTGCCAGTCCACAAAATTCAAATAAATATGGTCTTCAACAAGATGTATAGGCTGCACGCACTCAAAGTCATTTCAAACCATTGATCTAAGAAAGCGTTGATACAAACTGACAACTATTTGAACTATTTTGAACACGTTTGAACTACTCCTAGCGCAGCCTTTCCTTTATTCAATTCCCTTATCTTCTATACTAAATTTATTATAACTGATCAATACACCGAAGTATTTGAAGTGTTTAGTATTTAAATCCACATCCTGAAATTTATGATAGATTCTGAGTAAATGCCATCACTGCTTTCCTTCCGATTCTAGATCATAGTTTCTGTTTTGGAAAAGTTTATTTTGAGTTCCATTTCTTGGAATAAGCCACCAAACAAAGATATAAAGAATAAATGAAAAGCATTTTAAAAGGTTAAAGAAAGAAAATACGGAAATATAGAAAAAAATCTCATGTTAGTGATAGTTATGGATATAAATAGCAGTGAGAATTGAAACTGATTTTATAAGATTTCTCTCAGTCAAGCATTGTCTTATCGGTTTTCTCGCGAGTTTTAAGGCGAAATCATCTTTTTTTTTACCTCACAAAGAAAGCGACATACGGAGTAGAAAAATATTAGGAAAGAAACTGAATTTGAGGGACTGATTTGTTGACTTCTTTTTCTTTCCGTCAGCGCAACTCGTCATAGACGTAATAGATGCCATTTGGCAGGACAGCCATAGATGTGCGCATGCCCGGGAGATGTACGTCCGGCGGCCATGATGAGAAATGATCTCTCTATGGCTTCCTAAAGATTGGATGCGAAGCGGGCATGGACGAAGCAGAATTCAGCGAGAGATCCAGAGCTGGAGAAGAATTTGCTCCAGTGTGTGTGTGTGTGTGTGTATGTATTGTGTGTGCGTGTGTGTTTTTGTGTTTGTGTTCGTGTGTGTTCATCCGTATAAGTGTGAGGAAACTGCGGGTGGCCTGTTCGGACAAGTTCCTGCGTGTATATATATGAGAGAGAGAGAGAGAGAGAGAGAGAGAGATAGATAGATAGATAGATAGATAGATAGAGAGATAGATAGATAGAGAGAGAGTATACATTGCTGTCAGGAGAGACAAAGTTGACAGTTCTCATAAAAAGTTAAACTTTACTAGAAATCATGTATCACTCGTCGACAGTATCGGGACTGCCATAAAATACAATAAATGCATAATGAACCAGGATCCAAACAGCGCGTAATAATGATATACAAACCTATACACATATAAAATATAATGTATACTTATAGATAATAACAAGAATTCATTCAAGATAGATAATGACCAAAATAGTCAAAATTGGTCGTACAAAATGTCTTATTCGGAAATTGAAAAAATATAATAAGATTAAACAGATTTTGTCAGGTTAAATTTAACAAAATCTGTATACACACACACACACACACACACACACACACACACACACACACACACATATATATATATATATATATATATATATATATATATATATATATATATTAAGCGTTTCACCACAATCAAGACGGGAAGCCACTAGCACGAAAGGGGTTGGAGCGAGAGCAAAGAGGAGTGATGGAGGAAAAGATGAAGAGAAGGATAGGGGATAGATCAGGGCATCTGGAGACGTCGATTGACATTCCATTTGAATAGTTGGAGATTATAGCTGTTAGGGAAACGAAAAAAAAAGGGCAAGGAGTTCCACAGGCGAGAAGTGCGAGACATGCAGCTATTGGAGTAGAAGAGACGGCTACATCTAACAGTTTCGATATTGGAAGGGTGAGAGCGAGATGCCAGCCTAGTTGAACGGTTAAATTCATGAAATCTGGGATCCATCAAAAGCAGCTCATCGGAGCAGTTACCGTGAAAGTATTTGTAGAAAAGACTGAGGAAGACGACGGCATATTTGTAAGAGAGCGACTGCAGACGAGATGCCAGATCAGGGCCAGTTACATTGCATATCCGAGTCTGTTTTTTTTTTTTATTAAGAACCTTGAGACAAACAGAAGGGGCTACAGACCGTATATGGCAGCAATACTCCATGCAAGGGCGAATGGTTGATTTGTAGATTTGAAGGATCGACTCCGGCGAGAAAAATTTCCCCAGTGTGTGTGTGCGTGTGCGTGTGTGTGCGCGTGTGTGTGCGACTGATTGTGTGTGTATTTGAGCGGCAACCTTTCTTTTAAACAGCTTTCATTAAATATAGCAGACAATAAAGATTTAATTTTTCCAGCGTCCTTACTATTTTACATTTTCTAGAAGGGAATATAGAAAATTTCCATAATTTTCATTGTTCCAAGCGCTTTCGCCCATTTCTTATGCCATTTTCAAGGGGATGTCTTTTTTGCTGTTGTTATATATGTATATAGTATTGTTTTGTTTATTAGTTCTGGGCATAAAGAAAAACTACAGCCGGTAGCAAGGCCTCTGATTGGGAGATTGGAGAGTTTAAGGAGCGCAGAGCCACATATTAATTGTCATTGTTCCCATGTCTACCCTACGCTGACCTGGGGTGGTAGCACCTGTTTGGGGTCTCAGCTATGGACAAATAGTAACCCACTAAACACTATGAAAGTATAAAAATATATTTTAAAAATAAAAATACCAGTAATACATTTTTATATAAATTACCAACAATACGCACATACTAACAAATTTTAGTGACTAGACTCAAATTCTTTTAAAATAATACTAAAAAACCAACATGAAAGAACTTTGACGACATTAAGCCGTATGATATCCTACATTTATTGATAGCCTACATTTTCTTAAATAAAACTGTACTCTAAAATATAACATCAACAAAACCACAACATAAAAAACATATCACTGTTTTTATTAATCATGTCCACACAAACATATATATGTTCAAAAGCTGTGTATCATCTACCATGTATTCAATTGTGATATCAGAATAAAATATATATTTTTATTACTTCAAAGCTTCCCACCAAATAAATTTCGACATTAAATGACCATAAGAAGTTGATATACCATTAAACAGACAAATCAATGAATCAATCATTTTGTTAGTAAAACCTATCTTAAGTAATGACCACTGACAATACCATTTTTAATAAAATAAAATCAAAACTTGCTGAAAAAGATTAGATAAAAATGACTGCAGTCGGTGTTCAATCATTAAGTATCGATTGCCATTTCCTTTGAAATCATTTAATTTTTTATTGCAGGAAATAACCATGGTAAAACGAGAGAGTTTTAGAGTGAAGTCAGTAAGTAGCAATGATAAAATCAAATTCCTTGTCTGGGCTTTAAATCAGTCGGCAATAAAATTTCACTTTGATCATTATTTTATAATTTCTTCCACGTTCAGATTAAGCACTCAATATTTGACGATGTGAGTTTATAAATTTGTTAACGCATTTAACAAGCTTCATGCAATACGGCTTGTCTATCCTTCTTTAAATTCGTACATGACTAAGGTATGCTTAATAAATATCCTATGTATAAGCAAACTTAGGTTATTAATGACACTGCAAAGAATGCAGGGCCATTTCTATCTTCCTTATTTTCATTTTCTATTTGCCTTGTGTCTAAATAAACATAACTTAATAATGAAATGGACAAAGTCCGACAATTATTTAAGACATTTTTTTATTATATTTATACGTTCTTTTTATAGATACACATATTTAAGTAAATGCCCTGTATATAATAAACAGTATTGACAACATTTACCGGCCTGAATTTTCTATGAAATTTTCTCGCACATTCAGGCTGGTAAATGTTGTTAATACTGTTTATTAGAAACAGAGCATTTACTTAGATATTTTTATCTATAAAAAGAACATATAAACATAAAAACATGTCTTAAATAACTTAATAAACATCAAAACGCAAATATATAAATTAAAATTACCCATCGAACATTACAGGTCTTGCTTATCTGTATTGAATTCTTTTAACATCTTTCAAACTTAGTCACTGCTTGAATAATAACAGATTTTTTTTAATCATTTCCCCCACCCAAACAAGGCGGGAATACCACTAGTATGCCGGGGTTACAGAGAGTGAAAATGAATGAAAAGATTGAGTGTAGGGAGGATTTAGAAAAGGAACGGGATTAAAGAAGATATAAGATGGTGGTTGTTATTGCATTTAAACTTTTGAAGATTGTAGTTATCAGGGAACCAAGTAAACGGAATGAAGTTCCACAGACGGGAAGTGCGAGAAAAGAAACTGTTGGAGTAGAATTGGCGGTTGCATTTAGCTATTTCAACAGTAAAGGGGTGGGACCTATATACCAATCTAGTAGTTCGCTTAAATTCACATAGTCAGGGCACCAGGGTCAAAAGCTGTTCAGGGTAGTTACCATGACAATAGTTGTAGAGAGAGAGAGAGAGAGAGAGAGAGAGAGAGAGAGAGAGAGAGCAAAGATACGCTACGTTAGTGAGAAAGTGGTTGAAGTATGTAACTTACTCTTTTTGAGTAGGTACACATCTACTTATCATCTCTCAGTTGAGTCTCTGTCCTTGTACAGAGTGCGCTCAGGGGCTTCTCTTTCAAAGGACAGAGGGGCAACTGAGAAAATAATACTGAAGAGGTGCCCAGTCCTGGGGAACAGCTGTCCGAGGCCGCACCTTCCCATTGCACCAGAGGGAGGGATCGGTGCTCGCACCGAGGCCAGGGCAACCGACGGGGCTGAGGGGGCTGAGGGGAATATTTGTTCCCGTGCCGGGTATACGCGCTCGGGTTCCCCCATAAAAATAGACCTTGTGTCGCATCTCGTCCTAGTGGGGGGGAGGCAGAGTAAATACCAAGTCGAGATGCTAGATCAGGATCGATTCATTTTTTTATTTTCTCAAGAGCCTCAAGATGAATCACAGGGGCACCAGACCAGATATGGTAGTTATCGAGAAAGAAAGTAAACGGAAGGGAGTTCCACTGGTTGGAAGTGCAAGAAAAGAAACAGTTGGAATAGAAATGGTTGTTGCATTTAGATATTTCGACAGTAAAAGCGAATCCCGAACATGTATTCACGGCTCCAGGGAAAAACTGTCAGAGCAGTTGCCATGGAAATATAGAGAATCCATGTCATGTCGGTGGGAAAGTGACTGAAGTTGAGATTCCTGATCAGGATTGATTAGTTTACAGATCCTTCTTTGGATTTTGTCAAGAATCTCGAGATGTACAACAGGAACACAAAACCAGATATGGCGACAGTATTCAATGCACGGATGAATGATAGATTTGTAAATGTGCAAAATGCATTCTGACAAGAAAAAATTTCTGGCACAAAACAGTGACCCAAATTTACTTGCAGTAAATGCAACCATTGATTCAATGTCGTCGTTTAACTTTAAGTCTATTGAAAACGTGTGACCAACAAGGCGCAGTGTGTTGCTCTCCAGGAGTCTGGCGTTACTATACTGATGTCAGACAGAAAAGGTTCTCTATGGTGGTTAAAGGAAAGCAGTTTCGTTTTAGAGGCATTAGCCCCAGTTAATCACTGATTGGCGGGGGGGCGGGTTCAAGAGCACCAACCTTGTCAGCTCTGACGGATTTCCTACTGAAACAGGATGGTAAGGACGTCTGCATTGGGGACTGATGACAACAGGGAGATCATTGATGAAGATCAAAAAACAACGTGGAACACAGGATAGAGTCTTGGGGGACAGCGCATTCGTGTGAAAGGATCTGGAAATGAGCCACTTCAAAATGACCTTAATTTCACGATTTGACAGGAACGATTGGTTTAAATCAAACATTCCTCCTGAGAAACCGTAGAATGCCGTTAAACATAATGAAATTCTAAGCATATTTCCAATTATTAATACTTTGCTCTGCGCTTTCACGAAATCGGCCTTTTCATCTCACGACTTCTTGAATGTCTTTGGCCTATCTGCCATTACGATAAAAGGACACAGTGTCACTCGCATAATTTTGACCGCCATTTTTTTAATATGTATATTGAGCGTCAGAAAACTGTTATGTTTTTAATTAAAAAAAAAGTCAACATTAATAAAGCTTATTTGAATTTAATAAAAATCAAGAAGCAATATTAGGCAGGATATAAATCAGTGACAACTTAATACAAAAAATGATAAAACGACTTTTTGAAT